TTGCAAATGAGATCCGATAGATTGTTGTTGCGGTCCGACAGTTTTGTATGTCCAGCGCTATGATGCCTCGGTCTGGCATAAGTTACATGTTGCCTAGTATATTGTTGTTGCGGTCCGGCAATTAATGAGGTATCGATTCCGGTTCGGCAATAATATGTGCCATACCATCTATGGTAATTGAGCGTCTACAACTATGTAACGCCTTCATATACGGGAAAGGGTATTTTTGTCGTCTACACTATAACTTTGTGACTTGGGAAGATTTGTATAAAAGTTGATTTTGGAGTAAAAGGTGTGATATAAAACTTGGTTGGGGGGAGAATGTAAATAAAGCTAAATCGAAGGGGCTCTTTGTAACTTTTTATATGTACTTTCCCCGTATAGACTTTTTACTTTTACTATCAGAAAACGTTGTAGCAACGGCCTCTTGTTTAAAAATTGTAGCTGCAAGTGTGAAAAACGAGTCATGGAAAAGAAGCTTCCTTTGAAAAAATTAAGAGAGATGGTTGCTTCTTTCGTAAAAATAATATAGGAATATTTTGTATTTCATGACACACTTCAAGCTATTCAATTGGATATCTAATAGTTGGGAGTAATCTTAACTTCCTTATATAAAAGTGAAATAGCCACATGTTATAATATCCCATATTATTACTGTATCACTTTGTAACAACTATTTAAAAAACAGATCGGTGATCAAGATCGGGCGCCCCAAAAATTGATCTGGATTGGAGAATCGGCAGTTCAGATCGCCATTTACAGTGTGGAAACAACAGTGAACCGAAAAAAAAAAATGAAAAAGCATGAACCGGCCAAAAACCGGTTTGGATAGGTGAATCGACAATCTGGATCGTTGTTTTACTATAGAAGATCGCCATTTTACTGTGCTAAACTGCCAATTCCCTTCGAAAATCAGTCATTTTCCTATATATATGCAGGATCGAAATGGGGTGACATATTCCCAAATCAGACCAAAAGATTCCATGTCAATCCAGCGTGATTTAAATCACTGTTTTGGATATTTCATCATACAAGCTGAACACGTCCAATGACCAAATTACTTTGTTCTATCGAAATGTTCGATGCCAAAATGGATGGTTATAGATTTCACTAAGCAAATCATCCTCAATAGAGAGTAAAACTCATTGTTATGGGTGTTTTCGGCGTTTTGAACATTCATAACGAGTATCGTTGTAATGCCTTTAATTCTATGAATGAACCGATGGTGTGGCATGTCGCCACCCTTATTTTGTAATGCCTTCCATTATGATATTGCGAGTGTTCTCTTGTCAAGGGCAGTTTTCATGCAATATTTATTTTAAGAGCAATGATTTCATGTTACGGTTGTATCATAATATAATGCAACAACTTTCAAAAACCATGTTATAGATATTTGTTTGATCTAAAATTTGAAATATACACTCTTTTCATGCTAATTAACAATAAATTTTTTTTTGAAAACACAACCTAAAAAATATTTTTTAGCCTAATTAAGATAGGCCGTTCATTTTGGTGAAATGCTTAGATCTAGGCTTTAGAAGGATTTTTTCATTTCCAATCTTTTGGATGACTTTATTGTCATTAGATGAACAGTATTAAAAAAGAAAAAAATGATTTTGAGTATATAAAACTAAGATATTGAAATTCACCAAATGTATGGTCTAGAATCGTTTTTGGAAGGGACTCATTTTGATCATATTTATGGTTCAAATTGAACTTTTTTTTTTTTGGGATTGATAATTGAGATGAAGAGAGTCCAAATTTTGGGTCATACAAATAACACAAATATGATTTTTTAAAAGTGCCATTGCATTATAGTATGATGCAACCGTTGCATAAAATCATTACTCTTATTTTAATTTTTTAATAAAATATATAGGGGCCAATATCCCACTTATTAAAAAAAAAAGTATCGTTGTCATCGTCTTGAGGATTTGGATTCCTTCTACACGTCTTTATAACAAATACCTGTGGGAGAATCTGGACCGTCCATACTTTTATTCGACAAATAGGAAGAGTAGAAAGTGAAGCACAGCATCTCCAGCTTCATAAAGCCTCAGTGGTCAAAAGATGTGAGCCCCGGCACTACACAAACCGCACCACCGACAATGAAATAACGTTGTCTTTTTCTTTTCTTTTCTTTTTTTTCCCTTTTTTTTTCAGACAAAATCACGAGGAGCTCTTCCAAACCCACCTCTCTCTCAAAATTGGAGAGGGGAAAGGCCAGGAGAGAAGTGTAAGGGTGGCAAGAGTCCGGGCCTGGGCCGTGCCAGCCTTAGCTTGGTCCTAGCTCTAGCAGGGTCCTAATAGGGCTGGGCTGAAAACAAATGAAGAGGAAAAAAAGAACAAAAGAAAAAAAAAAAAGTGGGTTGAGCCGGGCTGAACCAAACCGGAATTGGCCCTATCTCGGCCCTTGGGCTATATGCAGTGGCCCAAGCCTTACTTTTTAGGGCTCGACAGGCCGGGCCCATTGCCAGAACTTGATAAGGGGAAGAAAGCTACCACAACAGCCTAGCCATATATGCTTTTATATAGAGCAATAATTTAAAAACTGGATTGGTGGCTCGGATTTCGCACCTCAAAAATCGGTCCGAATCGGTGCATCGCCTGTCCTAATTGTCGTTTTACTATGAAAAAAAACAGCAAACCGGCCAAAAACCAGTCTAGGTTGGTGAATCGGTTGTCCGGATTACTGTTTTACAATAGAGAATCGTCATTTTATTGTGGGGAACCACCTGTTTCTTTCTAGACTCGATCGTTTTTCTCTATATTTGCAGAAATAGAACTGGGTGACCGATTCCCAAGTCAAACAGGACGATATCATGACTAACGCAAAATTTTTTAAATGATTAAATATAGAGAGTGGCAGTCCCGCTCTCCTTTTTCTTTTTCTTTCATAAACTTAGCAAATTTTATTCCTCGAAGTACACATCCTTTAAGGCAAAATAAAAATAAAACATTCCTCCTTACATTTTTAATATTGCAAAACTTTTATTTTCTCAAAAAAATGGTTAGCCTGCTAGCATTGACTCCCGTTTGGGCTAAGCTTGAGAAAGTCTTTCTCTCTCATGCTTTTTTAGATAATCTCACGGTTCTCTCTCTCTCATGCTTTTGCAGGTATTAGATTGAGCTCTCTCTCATTTAATCAATGCTATTCTATGGCATTCCTCACCTTAAGCGATAAAAAGAGAACGTTGATTGGAGCTTTATTGGGCTCCCCACCGACATGAGAATAACGCGTTAACTACTTTATTATCTCCACAACAATGAAAAGCACCATCCTCTGCATTCAAAACTTCCTAATTCTCCAACCCCAACTCACTCACAATAACCACCAACCTTTGGAAACCAAAGTTCCTGTCTGGAGCGATTCTCTCCCTCTCTACAAATTCAAGCAGTCGAACTACGTTCTTTACCCATCTAGAAATAAACTCTATAAACGTCCCCCCCCGCCCCCCCTCTCTTTTTGTTTTGAGAATGGTTGATTTTGTATCAGTGTTTGGTCACACAAACCGGACTTGAAAAATCCAAAAAATATGAGAAATTATGTTTAGAGTAAACTTATGTAAGATACATTTAATTGAAGTTATAAAAGTAGTGAAAAAATAAATTTCGAAAAAAGCAATTTGTGAAGGGAAAGGTTCCTATGCTTCCCCTACAATATTGAAGTTCTATCCTCCTTCTACCGTCCAGCTGTCCAATTTTGATCAAGAGAGTCACTCACCGTTTGATCTTAGATCCGACGTCTCAAAGTATTTTATTTTTAGTTTTTTTTTTATACAAATTGTATGAATATGAAATTTAGTACTTGCCGTCTTCTCATTGGGGTGCACCTATAAAAAATATTTAAAATAATTTTTCGATCAAATATAATGACCAAAATACCTTTGAAAACTTTCAAGGGTATTTTGATTATTTTATTGAAAATATTTTTTTAATATTTTTTGCTAGTGCGAGTTTAATAGAGGAATGGATGTCCAAAATTTACTGTCAAAATAGTTTATAAAAAAAAAATTAAAAATAAAATAGTGTAGAGATGTGACATTATGATTGGGGCAATCTTAGCTCTCCATTTAGAATGGACGGTTGGATAAGGGAGCAGATAGAACTTATATGTTGTAGGGGAAGCATAAAAAGCTTGCCCATTTGTGAAAGGGGTATTTTTTAAATAATAATAATAATAAAATGTAAAAATAAATATTCATGGCCCAAATATTTTCCAATCTTTGTCAAAATGATAAAAAACATTAGAAAACCACATTACAAATAAATAAATACACTGCAAATAAGTTTCTTGTTTTTTAATAATTTTTTTTAACATCTTAGAACTTACCCAAAAAACCGATTAAAATCAAGTAACCCAGCCGGTTTCGGTTCAACCCGATCGGGTTGGTCAAACACTACGATGTTTTAATAGAAAAATGACTATATAGGACCTTCCCCCACCTATGTGTATAGGACCCTAAAGAATCATCATTAAATTTAGTATGGATCTATAAAAAAGTCAAGTCTCACATCCATGTGATAACTTTTTTAGAGATCCATGTTTATTTTAATGGTGATCCTCTGAGGTTCTACACACATGGATGAAAAAAAGGTCCTATGCGATCATTAATAGTATTAGTGCTGTAATAATTTTAGAGGGAGAGAATACGCAATCCAACTATTTCTTTTGTCCTTTTCTGTTTTTTTTAATAGCGTTAATCGACCTATGTCCTTTACTCCTTCAAATAACGTAAAACCACGTACTTCTCCCCTTCTCCCATCTTGAACACAAACAAACACAGTCGTTTGAATGTTGGACTGTCACAATTGGAAGACCTCTCTCTAAGTAGATCACGTGAATTTTCGCATGCTTTCCAAAGTACGTGGCGTTGTGATAAACTGGTAATATACGGAAAAAGTCGGTGCCAATTACGTAGATGACTGGTAAACGGCGGGTTCTCATAAGTGTACGACGCACGTTCGCGTGGCCCCCCTCTCTCTCCCCCAAACGCCTCTCTTTTGTCTTAGGGCTGGCAACCGCCCGGGACCTTACGATCAGGCCTGGCCTCGTCATGGTCGGGCAGAGCCGGGCCGAACAAATCAAAAGTGCAGGCCGGGCCCAAGCCAAAGCCCATCTTTCAGGCCACATTTTGATTTCTTCAGAGCTTAAACCCCAGTTTTTAAGGGCCGGGCCACGATATTGTAATTCTCCCTCTCGGATTCTGTCTCTCTCTCTGATGAGAGCTGGAAAGGTTTTAATGAGGAGCGGGCGAGCAAGAGCAAGAGCAAGAGCAAAAGCAGAAGCATGTTATAAAAAGGGCCGCTTCTCCTCACCGTGTTGGCACGCAAGACAAGATGCTTGCGCCTTAAATTTCCCATTCTCTCTCTACCACTCTCCCACATTCTCTCTCCAACTCTTCTTTCTCTCACATCTCTTTTATTCTCCCCCATTCTCTCTCTAACACTTCACCCCACATCCGCTCCTTCTTCCCCCCCTCTCATACTTCAGCTGCCACTTTCTCTCTCTAAAACTTCAAAATATGGCTCCCTCCTCCAATATTTTCTCTCTCCTCGCTCTTCTCTCTCTTCTTATCATCCCCTCCCTTTCTCTCTCTAAAACCCCCTGCGAACTCCATGGAAGCTGTGACCCGGAACCCGACTGCACCACCTCCCAACTCGACACTTTCGCCACCACCCTCAAAACCACACTCTCCGAAATCCAGAAGGCCCTCTCGCTACTCTCCAAATTCACCGAATTCATCCCGAATTTTCGCCAGCGCACCGCAATCCAAGATTGCGTTGACCTCCTTGACCTCTCTTCCGACGAGCTAACGTGGACTCTGTCGCAAACCCCGAATTCCGGCGTCTCTAGGCCGGTTTTTCCGGCCACGGGCCGCCGGAAGAACGACGTCGCCACGTGGCTCAGCGCGGCGCTTGGAAATCAAGACACGTGTCTGGATGGATTTGAGGGGACTGATGGCGTGGTTAAGGAACTCATTCTAGGGAGCCTTGTTCAGGTACTATAACGGTAATTGGTGTGTCCGCTTTTTAAGAGACGCCGTTATGATGTGTAGTCCGTTACCGATTATATGGTGGAAACAGCAGTTCTAAGTGTTAATTAATAAAGAAGAAACTGAAAGAACGGGAAAGTGGAGGTATCCCTTCTTTATCCGTTTTTAAGAGGAAACATGTCAATGCTATAACGGAACAGCGATTTTTCGTTTTATATGGGCTGAGTTGAATGAAAAAAAGACAATTTCCTTTGAAAACGACCGTTTTGGAGAAGGACTTCAAAAATGAAATGAGAAGCCAATTTTTATTAGAAATTACTATTTTATTTTTCATGTTTTTGGCTTTTTGCATATGTTTTTATACAAATCTAACATGGGTTGCAATAAAAAAAAATTGCCACCCATGGGGACTAGCAAAAAGATGGATGTAATGGTTATCCTCTTCTTTCCTATGGATTTAAAATAGGGTGTGGTTTGTATAGAGCCTAGGTTCAAAACAATCAAATTAGAGCCTATCTTCAAATAGTGTCAAGAAATGTGGCTTCAGTATTAAAAATCTTTTTGATAGCCTTCAAGTATATTTTCATTTTTATTTATAAAGTTTAAAGCGTAAAAAATAGTGTAAATCGAAAGATATATGAAAACTTCAAAAACTTGAAAATTGATGGTTCAAAAATGTGTTACAAAATATGCTATTTCCAAAACTTGAAATTTATTTTTTGCTCATTTCCATGCATCTTGATGTCGAGATGATGAATTTGAGGATATTTGGGCATCAAAACAACCTCGTCTAGTGAAATTTTTGAGGTAGGCCTGAATTTGATTGTTTAGAGCTTCGGTTGTATATAAACTTTTCCCTATAAAATAATGTCAAAATTTTCTGCACATCTTTCAAGATATTGTGAAACCTATCCAATCCAACTAAAATAGACTGATGTAGATTATTTTAATGCTAATTATGCAAATTATGGCCTCATATATAGGTAGTTCTAGACAACTTATTATAAAACAACTTTAAATAGATAATGGGCGTAGTCTATTATGCAAAAGACATTTTTTTTTTAAAAAAAAAGGCAAATTTCTCCCATTGTAGAAAACTCAGAATTCTCGGATTTAACTTTCATTTTGAGTAGTGATGTTTTTTTTAATGTTACATGGAGAAGAACATAGGTTTCAGTGTTTAGTATGTGCCTTTATTATCTCCTGCAAGGCGTAAAAATTGAATATTCCAAGACACATCTATAAAATTATTTATATAAAAATTATACATATAATATATAAAAATCTCAAATGTATATAAAATAAAGGGAATTGTATGCAATTAGATCATTTACCTTCAGTATAATGCGTCACAATTACTTATAACTCTATAATTATTCAATGTGAAATTTGATAGTTTGGATGTGTCATAAGGTAGGATAAAATTCCTTTTGAACCTGATCAATAGAATAAATGCAGCCACCTAAGTTTGCATCCAATGATCAAGATTAATTATTAACCAAACATAAAATCTGTTTCATGCATCATTAGAAAAATCATCGAGTCCACTTGGACTCAACACCCCAATGAACGCAGAACTCCCCGTACCTGGATGTGGGGAGTACCATACACTTGGCTGAGTTAATGTGATAACTCAGTCAAGTTGTAAAAAAATTGGTCTTTCTTTTTGCAAACTCTCAAGTTTGTCTGGACTTGGTGAGTCTGATGGATTTCTCAGTTTAAGCAATAATCACACAATTGTGTGGGTCGTATGTAAGATTTGTATCTAGGGATGTCGATGTGTCTCAAAGTGTCAATACATGTCGATACATGATGCGGTAGGAAAATCGGAATGCTTGGATAACACTAGTTCTTCTAATATGTGCAGGTCACAGGGTTAGTAGGAGAAATTTTGGGGATGGTGAAGCAGATAGCAACAGTACCACTTGGAAAACCGCTTTCTGGTGCTGGAAAGCAGCTTGCGACTGAAGGAAGAAGGCTCATGGGTGGTTTTCCCTCATGGTTTCCGTCAAAAGACCGGCGGTTGTTACAAATTCCGGTAGGTGGGGTAGCAGTAAACGCTACGGTAGCTGCCGATGGAACGGGAAACTATACAACGGTAACGGACGCCATAACGGCTGCGCCTGATCACAGTGAACAAAGATACGTTATATATGTGAAGAAGGGGGTCTACAATGAGAACGTGGAGGTTAAGAAAAAGAAGACGAATATCATGCTTCTTGGTGATGGTAAAGATGTTACCGTTATAACGGGGAACCGAAATTTCGTCGATGGGTGGACGACTTTTCGGTCAGCAACTTTCGGTAAGATTTGGTTTGCATGCTTTTTCCTCCTCCTTTTATATTTATCTTTTATTTTTTCTCTCTCTTTTTTTTTTTGCCCTTTTTTGGGGGAAAAGATTGCCCGTTTGGATCACCACATATCCCAATACCTCCTAAGTTCGTACCATTATTCAACAAAACTTCAAAAAGCCGTGAGTTTAGACAACCATAAATACGTGGTTCATATTGCTAATGAATAAAAAATTTACAATGTAGTTCACATTAGAGATTTAAAATCGACGGGTTAGTGGGACAGATTGTTCACCTCACAGATATGTGTTGGATCACTGGATCGATTATCCAGGTCAGTTTGGATCGATCTGAATTGGTGATCTAAAACATATTAAAAAATAAATTAAAATAAAAAATAAAAATAGGGGTTTATGGAGTGAGATTTAGGGGGGGGGCGAATCAAACATTAGTATTTTTTTTTTTTTTTTTTAAAAGCATATAATAAAAAAGAGAGATGGGATGGGGGGGCACGGCAGGGTTAGGGAGAACTAGTCTATACCTTACCATCCTGGAACAGGTTTAGATCCGACCAATTCTCGGTTTAGATCGGTGATTCGAATCGGGAATTTCAGTGTTTTAAAACATTGCACCCAATGCATCTTGGGCGATTCTCAAGTTAGAGCGAGCCACAACTAACAAAAACAAATAAAAAAAACCAATAAATTCTAGGATTCCTCAAACCAAAATTGCAACAGGGGGTGTTTGGGGGAACTAGTCCATATCATAACATCCCGGAACAAGTTTAGATCCGACCAATTCCCCATTCAAATCGGTGATTCAAATAAGGAATTTCAGTGTTTTTAAAACATTGCACCCAATGCATCTTGAGCGATTCTCAAGTTAAATCGAGCCTCAATGATTCTCAAGTTAGATCGAGTCACAACTAATAAAGAAGTTCTACAAATATAACATTTCTTGGTATATAAGAAGTGCGATGCTAGTTTGGAAGCTAATATTAAAATTTTTTTTTTTTTTTGAAAAACTAAAACTTTCATACTATTCTTGGGAGTTAGGGGAAGAGGTCGTTTTCTATCCAACTCTGTCACCAATCACACGTGCCACAAAAGACTATTAAGCTCGTGTGACTTTAAATAGTTGTGAAAAAGTTGTGATGGGTTCTCTTGGTCCTTTGGCAGACTGATAATTTGTGTGATTGACAGGGTTTCAAGTCCATTGTTTGTCATGGTCTTATGCGATTCCCTTCGTTGTCTTTTCCCAATCAAATTCAGTCCCTTTTTTTTTGTGTTATTTTGCTTTTCATCTCTGTCTCTCTCTTTTGGGTAACGTTTTCAAAGTATAAAGTTTAAAGCTTAATGCTTGATCCCCATTGAATCACGTGAACCGTGTAAAGGAGTGGTCAGTCACTTGTGGGGTACAAGAATCAGGACAATATCGCGTTTCGTGTCGTTTTGTGTTGGGCGTCTTAGCCATGAAGAAATGCAACGCCACGTTTCCAATGTTCGAGTTCGAGCCTTCTCCGACTCGGCGAGTTGTTTAGGCTCGGCCCCTTGTCACGCCTGAGTTGTCCCGAGTGGGAGGTCCAGCTCGGGGATCTTAAAAAATATTTCAAAAAGTTTATAAAAGATTATGAATAAATAAGAACTATATTTATAACGTGTTTATTTACAAGAAAAGTTTATATAGAGTGAGACTCTAAACAATCAAGTTAATGCCCACCTCGAAAAATTTGCTAGAAGAGGCTATTTTGATGCTCAAATATTCACAAATTTATCATCTCAACATCAAGATGCGTGGACATGAGAAAAAAAATGGATTTCAAGTTTTGAAAGTAATGCATCTTGTAACGCATTTTTAGATCGTCAATTTTCAAGAATTTCAAGTTTTCATAGATCTGTTTGATCTACACTATTTTTTAAGCTTTAATTAAAGATGAAAACATATTTTAAGGCTATCACAAATATTTTCAGTATTGAAACCACATTTCTCGTCGATATGGCTCTACTTTAATTGTTTAGAGCCTCAGCTCTGTACAAACTGTATCTTTATTTATGTTATCCGTCATTTTGGCAAAGATTGGAAATTATTAGGCCATGAATTCTTATTTTTATATTTTTCCATCTTTTTATGAATTTCAAAAATATCCCCACTCACAAACTCATTTTTAAAAATCTATTTTTTTAACCACAATTAGTTGTGTTTGTTAAATTTTATTTTAAAATATTTTTTTGTTTTTTTTTGTTTTTGGAATAGTTTTACAGTACTCAACGCTGCTCAGGTTGAGTTACTCGAACTCTGACAAGTACTCGGCGGGGGTATAGGCGGAGTTGTCGGCCCGAGTCGACTCTTCGAACATTTAAAAATCCAACAAAAAATCACTTTCTTCCAAAGGAAACTCACTTAGTGGTCATGGAATTTGGAAGCATGAGCCCCACCTAGAAGTTAGTCCCGTTTGAAATAAATTTCCTAGCCAAATGAACTTCGCTGATTTGTTCTCACTCATAAGTTTTCAAGTTTTCGAATTTTCTTGATGATTTGTAAATATAATTCCCCAAAATATTGCAAACTTTACCACAAATCACCGAAATATTGAAAATTTTACTTTTGTATTTGATCACTCCACGGATGAAAAAGACCTTTTCCCTAGCAAAGTAAACTGTGATTCTTATGATCTTAGCTTCAGGTCATCACTCAGCACTATGGAAATCAATACCCTGTAAATTTTGAAATTTTTTTGGAACTAATAGCCATTAAAATTACTTCCCTACAAAAATAAAATCCCGCAAAAATGTGGCCTCCAAGCTCTCTAACTGACCACCAAAATTTAATTGCAAGCAGCTGTTTCCGGCAATGGCTTCATCGCCCGTGGCATTACCTTCGAAAACTCCGCCGGCCCCGAAAAGCACCAAGCAGTAGCGGCCAGAGTAGACTCTGATCTCTCTGCCTTCTATCAATGTAGCTTCAAAGGCTTCCAGGACACCCTTTACGCGCACTCCCTCCGTCAATTCTACCGCGACTGCGATATCTTCGGCACAGTCGACTTCATTTTTGGAAATGCTGCTGCAATCTTTCAAAATTGTAGAATCCTCCCCAGAAAACCCCTCCCAAACCAGAAAAACTCCATCACTGCCCATGGCCGCAAGGACCCAAACCAAATCACTGGATTCTCGATCCAATTCTGCAACATTTCAGGTGATCCGGAGCTATTTCCTACTAAAAACTCGACAGAGACTTATCTCGGTCGGCCGTGGAAGCAATACTCCCGGACAGTGATAATGCAGTCCTATATGAGTGATGTGATACACCCACAGGGATGGCTTGCATGGCAAGGGGACTTCGCACTTGACACCTTGTACTATGGGGAGTATATGAATTATGGACCAGGGGCCGGGCTCGGTGGACGGGTTAAGTGGCCGGGGTATCGAGCAATGGGTTCAGTAGAGGCTACTAATTTCACAGTCTCACAGTTTATCGACGGTGGGTTGTGGCTTCCAGCCACCGGAGTTAAATTTACAGCAGGTTTGAGCTTCTAGAGTTAGAGTTCCATTAGGGAGTACTGCTAACCTGCGCATTGGTCGGCTCATGGCAAGTTCTTTTAGGGCCGGGTTAGGGCCGGTGTGCATGACAGAAAGAGGAAAGGGTTAGTAGCAAGGTGTGTGTGGTAGGGAGAGGAAATGGTTGGTAGACTTCCTCACTTAATTACTCTCAAAAAAAATAAAAAATAAAAAAAAGCTAATTGGAAGTTATGGTACGGGTATATCCTATGTTATAAAGACATAAGATGCGGCTGCGAATGTTTGATACACGCATGTCAGAAATGTCAATCTCATAATAGGTGAGACTTTAAAGCTTCTATACATCAAAAGAGGAAGGGGGATTTTAAGTCGTATTACGGTACATTCATAATGAGATTTCAAAACGAATTGTTAATAATAAGTATCTAAGTTTTTAAAATATTAAACACTAGTGTCGTGTCCAGTTTTGTTCTTTTATTTTTCAATTAAATTTTTTGGAATTTTAGATGCATGGGTGTCTATAATTTAGCGGGGTAAGAAGTCATAATTTTGGGGCGTGTAACAATGTGAGCTGGTTGTGGTTTTTGTTTCTATTGTATTACTTGTATGATATGTTCATGTTTGTGTATCCAGAATTAATTTATTACTAAAATAGAGGTGGATGTTCATTTTGTTTCCCAATGATGCGCGCCCTTTGCAAGTTGGATCGAATTTACATATGCAGGTAAAAAAGTACTTTGGAAGAATGAAAGAAAATATATGTATTTATTTTGTCGGTGTAGTTTGTATAAGGTGTCAATCTCAAAGGATTAAAAAGCGAGTATGATGATTTAAACTTTATATTTGGACCCCCTCGTTAAATCACCATTCTATTAATCATAAATTATCCTTGCTCACACCTTCCTTAGGAAGGCATCGGTAATGGAACTTGATTCACACCCAACATTTTTTTTGGATAGATTAGTGATGAATACAGGCCCTACCTGTTTTTAAAAATAGTTAGTGGTTTTCGAATGCATCAGTGGGAATGAAAACCTAAACCGATAGTTGAGGCTCAAGTGTCGCTACCATCACGACCTCAACCTCATTCCCATCACGCCCAACATGATATTAAGAGATTGAATAAGGCATGATGCCTCCAAATTTTGTGGAATGTGGAATTAGCCTCTCTACCTTTGTGGAATGTGGAATTTGATACCCCAATCAAACTTAAGACAGATAACAAAATGACCCACAAGCTCTTCCGGAAAGTACCTCCCACACTTGATGGTTCTTGGTAGCTTAAAGAGTAGCCATCGAAGTTCAATTTGATCACCCCCGGAAAAGTAGATACCAGAGTTTAGACCTAAACATATTTTGTGCAACACATTGGATAGACCTTCAATTAAAAGAATGTCCTAATTGGACCAGCCTAAGAAGTCCTTGCGATGGAGGGCTTGCAATACTTTCAGCAATAACAAGCTAATGAAATTTAGCCTAATAGGCATTAAAACAAGGTCCATTATTTTAGGATGGAGGGCTTGCAACCCTATAATGAATTTGGGCAACCAATATTCAAAGGAAATGGACCAAGATAGTATTTTACCTTGCTATAGAAGGTTGAAAACAACAAGAAAGGACACCAACACATTTAGGTCTATGGACCCCCTTTGATGCTAAACACCACCATCCGCATGTTTTGTAATGACAGTATTAATTGAAGGTTAGGCTTTGTAGGAAAACAGTCACTCTATTCTTCTCACTCTTTCTCACAAGGGTTAGAATGGGCTATAGATGGACGCTGCATATTTTTGTCAAATAGGGGGGTTTTGGTTCTTTACACAAGTACATGAATGAGAGAGATTAAGGTTTAATAGTTATATACTTAAGTTTGTTGGTAGTTTTTTTTTAAGTTCAATTTGAGTCTTTGATTATGAGGATCTATGGTGTAGAGAGAACTATGATCCTAGGTCCTCATCCACTATCGTGCTATTAATGATGAGTGCATATATAATTATTTCTCCACTATCCTCATTTTTAATTTTTAAATTTTTATTTATATAATATAATATGAGTAATGATCTTATGAGATCCTTCAACACTTATGTACGTAAGATTTTAAAAGATCACTATGAAATTTGACACAGATCTCTAGAAAAGTCAAGTCCTACATCTATGTGATACATTTTCTAAAAATCTGTACCAAATTTAATAATGATCTTTTGGAGTCCTACACACATGGGTGTGAAAGGGTCTCATACAATCATTACTCATATAATATTTAAGATAATAGTTTAAAAATCAAAATTTTTTCCATACTAAAAATGCCCTAGCACATGAGAGAAAAATAAAAAGAGGGTTATGGCCCTCAATTCTCGACCACTTTCCACTCACCCAAAAAAAATTCTCGGCACTTTCCAACTCTAACTATTCATATTATACCATTTCTTGATTTAAATAATATACTCTCTCATGATAATGATAAGACATGCCTTACAGTCACATGGCTTTGTCATATATGTGACCAACAGGCGGCTCACTAAAAAAAACGAAGTTGACATGCAAGCCATTTCATTGGCCAAAGGCTGCCTACAGATTCACATGTGTGCATGTTGTACACATGTAAGTAAATAAAATTACTTAGAAACGTAAATCAAATAATTTGTTCCAATCAAGTATCAATATATGACCCATGTCACATGGGCTGACATGGCATCATAGAACTGGGCACATTGGCTATTTGGGCCCCACGTGCATGGCCCAGCTTATCCTTAATTGAAATTTTGCCAAAACATTTTAGAAAACCATTATTTCAAAATTAAAAAAGTACAAAAATTCTCCAAACATCATCCTCAATAAAATTCAATTGTTTGTAAAAATAATAAAATTATATTAAAAAGAAATTAGGATCCTTAAGAAAATTTATCTTGTACATCTGGGCACTCCACTCGGCTAGTTCTATAGCGAGACTGATTGCAAACAAACCCCAAGGGCATGCAGTCTGTTTCTTCTCTCATGCTATAGACTGATTGCAAACAAACCCCAAAGGCATGCAGTCTTGTGGATTTGGGTTAGAAGAGCTTGTCTCCTTCTAGTTGATCAAGAGCATGTCTCTAGTTCATCAAGTAAGAAAGAGTGATTTCCCATTTAATGCGGGAGAGAAGGTTAGTGGCCAGGGATCTATAGCCACTCCTTCTCAAACATGGCTGAACTCAGAAATTCTATATTATAGATAATACTCTGATCCATAAACATACATTTTCAAATAAGCAATAGCAATTACTTATGTCCTGGTTGAAATAATCATGGGGCTTTCTCAAACCGACCTAACTAGGGATAACCCTCAACCTACTCAGCTTATAATTACTCAATCTCATCCGTCATAATCCAGGTTTTAGAACTCTGAGAGCACCAACTCTAGATTCCAAGTCACATAGATCTGTTGAATCATAAGCTCTTACTCACTTCCACTGTGATTGAGAACCATAGTTAGTCTTGGTGTTAAGGCCTTGAAAGAACACAACCCAAATAGATCATAGTGGATTAGAAGATGTTGAAAGTGGGTTTATATATAACAATCCCCGCGACCTTGATCCACTCTCAAACCCATATCTCATAATTTGTAAAGCATTTTAAGCTTAAAATTTGCAAGAAATATCCACACTCGATGCCCTTCATATTAACATAAATTTTCAAGGTCTTCAAAAGCCATCTAGGGGTCAGATCGTGGAGATTACTAAAATTTAAAAAGTAATAATAATGATTTGGTCATAACTTCATCAATTTGGGGAGTTTTCTATTCAAATTACTTTAGAATGCCTTTAAGGATTATTCCTCATAAAGGTTTTGGCGGTTGAGTGCCAAATAATGGACAATAATAGATGGAGTTATAAGAATTTGAAAGAAGCATGTGGTGTTCTTCAAAAGCTTGATGTCAAATCCATATAATGAACATAACTCCTTCAATGTTTGGATTTTTTATATTCAAATTTATCGCAAAATGGTCATGGGAACTTTTTTATGAAATTCGGTAGAAAATTGAGCAAAAATGGCCAAAACCAAGCATCAAATAGATGGGAATGGTACGGGGGCATGGAAAAAGATTTCTCAAGGGCATATTCATGATATTTCCTAAATTTGACCTCATAAAATGGTCAATTTTGCCTAGCCGCTAATTTCTGATAATCCACCCATCTATAGGTCCTGACTTATGAGTTCTATATAAATCCCTTAACCCTCATTTGCAAAGAATTAGGAACTTTGGTTAGGAGCCTCCTTTAGAGAGAGAAAGCCCATACTCCTCTAACCTAGAGTGAAAAACTATTTCTATACCCAAAATTTGCAAACTTCAAATACCTAAAATACCCCTAAAATAGAAAATAGCAAACAATCCTAGAAAATACAAGAATATCAAATCACCTAGCCTAACCCTAAGAAACGCTTATATCCTTATAGGCCCCAAATATGTTAGTAAAGATATATTATCAGGACGATATTTAAGGAACTGAGAAGTAACACATAGGGACAAATTCGCCCTTAAATAATATATGGTGGAAACATAGTGTTTTCTTTTTTCTTTTCTTCCCTTTTTTTTTATTTTATTTTATTTTATTTTATTTTAACTTACATAAATTCGGGTCATGAGGAGTTCCATGGACTTTCAAAGCCCTGTTATATTTTACATCAGACCTTTATATGGGTCTGAACACCCTTAATTAACTCATGTGCAAGTCTTTAAAAATATATATACATACAGAAACAATAGAAATATCTGCCCCAAGAAGCATATCAGGCCTACATACATAGACATATGTAGGGTACTGCCCATGCTCTGCTTCTTCTCAAGACTTGAGCTTTAAATAAATTTGGAATTGGAATGTCAGGCTTGCCTCTTCGTTAATGTCTTTACACGCAGGAACCATGCACTATCATGGGCTTGTCTCCTTGTTGAAGGGGTGTAAGAAGTGTAGAAGCACCTCTCTCTCTCACGTAGGCACAAATGAATTCGATCAACCCTCCACTCCTACTCCATTAATGGGGTTTATATAGAAATTAGAAGATGATAAGCTGGAACCAACTTTCTCGCATAGTGGTTGAATGAGATCAACACCTCTTTTAAATTTAAATCTAGAGGTTATAATGATAAAACAATATCGTATTTGAATTCAAAGCACTTTTTTGAACTTAAAATTCGAAACGAACTAGATTTTCCTCAAAGAAAATAAAGGGAAACCAAATCCATTATCAATCAAACGTCATGTCTAAGTCCAACTAATGCCACTCTCTAATGGTGATTCCTTTTGGCTAGAAACTTTTCATGGTGATATAGGACTCAAAGATGAATCCAACGTCTAAGTCTCACCTCAAATGGTTAATAGCAAAAGGAGATATGGCTCGTTGAAGTTGAGAGATTTCTACTGTAGATTTTCACAGCAGATCTGATCATTATGACTCACCCGCTTTCTTCTCAAGGGATCATGGACACATCCATAAATTTGGAACCAAAATACTATATATATCGAGAGATATTTTCGTAAGGTGAACTGCTTTCACATGTGTTGCCTCCTATTCTTGATAGGGGTTTAGTCAAGCATACAACAGTCCAAGCCCTATGAGAAAACTCTTTGAAGATTGGGAGATATCCAACTGTCCAGTTCCCTTAAGCTAGAGAAGGGAACCATGGTTTCTTAAGAAAATACTAG